AAAATTGATGAGGAAAAGTGAGAGAGAGAGAGAGAGAGACAAACAGATCAAAATAAAATGATGAATGTTCAGTGCTCAGCCCAGTCAAATTGATACATACATGTATGTAGACTGTTATAAAAATATGTTGGATTTTAGTTCTTGATATCAGGGAAAGAGCAGCTAGAGAGTGGAGTTTAGTTCAGCATGTCAGAATGGAAAGAATTGTTTATAAGATCTCCAATTATTCATGTTCATTCATTTAGATATATGTGTATAGGTGAAAGAACTTGATAACTCTGTGATGATGCAATCATTGTGTTCATCTGAGATTTGAATTCAATTTAGAAGGATCACTGTGTATCACTTATTTTTTTCAACAAAATTTGAAAAAGAAATGAAATACATGTAGTTGAAAATGAATTTGTTTTCACTGATGTAATTTCAAATGCAAGGTACAAAAAAAAAAAAAAAGTATTGTTTGATGATGTCACATTTAATAAGTTGTACCTAAATGAGTAATCAATTGTATGCAAAGTTCATGTGCTGTCATTCCAATGAAATTTTTAATATCTGTATTCTGACAGTATTTCATTTTTGTTAGTTGATTTAAGTTGTAAAAGGAAGACAACTTGATTTATATCTGAAGGGTACAAGTTGGAGGTTTTATTCACAAATCATGTTGGATTCAATTCTTAAGGAGAGATATTGAAAAAAAGTCATTTATGCTAGGAATTTAGTATTTTTGACAGATGAACATTACCAAAGGGTAGGAAACTTGTTCATGTATTTTGTTGTGACAGTAAGCCGAGAATTTGGATATTTTTGTAAGTATACATGAGGAAAGATTGTATCTGGCATTAAACTTACCACATAAAATGTAAAATTCCCATGAGTCAATAACTACATTAAAATTCACCTGCAAAAAAAAACCCCAAAATGTTTTATACTACCTACATTTAAGACAATATTACAAGTATAACCCAAAATATGTACTTGTAGAATTAAAGTGGAACAGTTGCAAAACTTTGTACTTATGTAAAAAACACGAAAACATACTTGGATATAGAAATACATGCAAGCTTGGGGTTTGTAGTTCATATTAATACCTTGTTTGTTAGTTTTCATGAAAGCTTAAAATTTTCCAGGACAGTTGAAATTATTTTCTAAATTTTAATTGAAAAGATTTCTCCCAAGTTATGAAATTCCTATACTTTGGTACTAAGTTTTAAAATTCTTAGAACTCCATATTAAGGTATAATAATATCCCTTTGTGATGAGGAGATAACTCTGGAAGTTTCCTATTATAGAAATTTTATCTCATCCATTCAAGGTGCAACAAAATCTTGTTTTGTACTTTTTGGTGAGGAATGATGATTGCACTTGATGAAAAAAAAAAAGACCAGTGTGCTTGCTTACGTAAAGAACTGTGAACGATAGTATTGTTCTCCTGCTTACATACAAGTCAATTTTCAGAAGTTAACATATTTAAATGATTTTTCATATATATATATATATATAGATATTTATATGAATTTTCATGAAACATTACTTATTTGGGAAAACAAAAATAGATGGCTCTATTATGTTGGTAAAACTTTTGTTTTTCACTATAGAAATCAACGGAAAATATTTTTAAAACATCTCTCCCCCCCCCCCCCCCCCCCCCCCCCGAAACAAAAATTCCTTTTTATAGGTAATATGGATTGTCATTTCACAATTTCATACCAAAGCTTTTTGTGTTTCACGGGGGAAACATTATTATGTTTACAGACAAAAAACGGCAAAAATGCTCATTTTTTCACCAATTTGAAGGGGTTTACAACTTAAACGTTGTATTTTATCAGTTACATATGTTTAATTTATATGAATAAAACATAAGAAAAGACTTAAGGAACATTTATCTATATCCATTGGCAAGAATATTTTAAAATATGATTCTTTTAAGCTCGATTTCAATGGAAAACATTGTCTACCCCCTTATAAAAAGAGCTGGAATAAGAGTAATTTATTATTTACACTGGTATTAAAATTATTAATCAATTACCATTGAACTCTTCTTTGCATTAAACAAAGATTTTATGGCCAAATTGCCATTAGTATTGAGTTAAATGGGTGTAAAATGTAGGCGGGAATCGAGAGTTAGCGTGCGTAGTTCTTTGGCTGATTTTGAACATGAATGGCAGCAGTTTTTATCCAGTCTAACAATGAAATTCACAAAACTCTGTCAATGTGCTCATTAGCACACAAGAGTTAGATTGGATTTTTTGTTTTGTTTGTGTTTGTTTGTTTTTTGTTTTGTATCTTTTTTTTTTTTGTTTGTTTTATTGAATTCCAGTTTGCAGGAATGTGGGTGTTTTCAGGGAACTAAACTGTCCATAATCCAATTTGTACTTTTTCTCTTGGGAAATTTGTATAACACCTCCACCCTCATCTCTCTCTAAAATAAAAATCAGCCTAATGTACAGTCAGATTTTTATTTTTTTATTTTTTTATTTTTTTTTTTTTGGTTGTCATTTTGGAAAATTAAGAAATAAAAATTATCTGCTAAAATATGATTCTACTGAAAATGTGCTGTAGAAGACTTAATTTTTTTCTACTAATTTCTGTGAGTTTTTAGTACTGCTAACAAGAGGGAAATTAGATATATTTTATTTAAGATGCATTAATTCTCAGTAAAGCTTCCAATTTTGATCGTGAATTATTGTAGTTAGATCGTAGAGCCTAATTATAACTTATGAAAATATTTCTGTACATATTCATATCTTTTCATTTTTTGAGTGTGTTTTGCGTTGTTGCCTGTATTATTATGTCATCCGAATAAATCACATCTTTTATTAATATTTAATTCTCTTGTGTTATCTTAAGAAATGCAAAAAATTAAGGATAAATAACATAAACCTTTTATCCAAAATTACCAATATATATGTAATAGATTTATGTTCATGTAGATAACTTGAATAATATATATGAGTAAGTGTGAAAATGTGGCAAAATTTCGAAATGATGTTGTGTGAAAATTTTGTATAGATTTACATAGAAATTGGCACAAAGTTTCATATTTCAACAATGCAATTGTTTGTGTCATGTTTATTGAAATCAAACCATGCATCAAATTTGAACTCACCTGAGCTGAAAGCTTACGTGTGCTTTCCTCCGATCGTCTTTCTGATGGGTCGTCTGCCTGTGAACGTTTAACATTTTCTTAACCAGAACCACTGGGCCAATTTCTACCAAATTTGCTACAAAGCATCCTTTTTCAAAGGGGATTCAAATGAAGTGACAGGCCCTTTTGAAAGGGAATTTAATCAAGAGAAGGCAATAAAGGACAGGTGTCTTACCAAGAACTAGTATTCCAGAAAAGATGAAACTTACAGGAAAGCTTTCTTATGTAAAGTAGATTCAAGTTTGTCAAATCATGACCCCTGGGGCTAGGTTGGAGCCACAATAAGAGATTAAAACTTTACATGGGATATTAAGGGAAAACTAATCTTCTCCAAAAAAAGAAGGACATTGATTAGTCATATTAATATGCAAGCATCCTCAGGTAGTCTAATTCAAGTTTGTTCAAACCAATTCCTAGGTGGGAGGGTGAGTAGACAACAGGGGATAGAAGTTTTATATAGGAGTATATTGGAAAAAATCCTTTTTCTCAAGAAAAGAAGGCCTATGATTTGTTTTATTCTTATGCAAATGTCCTCAGGTAGTGTGATTACAGTTTATTCAACCATGGCCCCTTGTGGGAGGGCAGGGTATAAAAGTTTTACTGGGAGTATTTGGGTAAAAGTCTTGAGGAAATCCCCAGGTAGTGTCTTTTAAAGTTTCTTCAAACCACATTAACATGAGAAAATACAGGAATTAATCTAAAAATCTTCTCTGGGACAGCAGGACCACGATAAGGCATGTTATTATGCATGTATCCTCACATACAGCAGCTTTTAATTTGTTCAAATGAAGGGAAGGGCCATATTATTAGGTCAAAATTTTCATGGTTTAAAAAAAAGAAATCTTGAAATGTGAAGAACTACAGGAACAGAGTGAGCTTTGTGGCCCATCGGTCCCTTGTTAGGTCACCTGATTCACTCAGGTGACCTATTGCTATCCGTTTTCGTCCGTCGTCGTGCGACGTGCGTCAACATTTGAACATTTTTAGCTTCTTCTCTGAAACCGCTTAACCAAATTTCAACCAAATTTGGCATAAAGCATCTATGGGTGAAGCTTCACCTTTTAGTTCATTTTATACTCTATGGATCCTCTAAATTGTTGTATTATACTCAGGTGACCGTTAAGGCCCTTGGCCCCCTTGTTTTGTTTGTGTTATATATCCTTGAATTTGATTTTGAGTTGATCTTGGAATCTTCCTTGCGTTCTGAGAAAAACACCTTTTTTCTACAATAATTCTGAATATCGCAATGTTCGTTAGACATGTTAGACGTTTATCATTTTAGAAAAGGTCTTAGTCAAGTCATGCTAGGTAATCAAAGACATTCTGAAATGTAGTCTACCCAGAAACACTTATTTTTTACTGAATCTGCAAACATACACAGATTGACGGGCATGTGCATTATTTCCTGTAGTACATGTATTAAGAAAACTTTGGGGGTTAATAAAAAGATATCCAGGAATGGCAGGATTTTAAAAGTCATTTACGTGATACCTTTTGTTAACGTATCATTTTAATCTGTTAATTTAAAGTGCAGAGAAAGGATTTCTAATTTTTTTTTCCATATTCTGAGATAAATTTGGTCACTAAAATTTGCAAATTAGAGTAGCTTACGTTTTGTAGGACATTTGCACTAATTAACCTTAGAGATGGTTGGAAATTCCTAAACTAGCAGAAATTCATCGTAGACGCAAGTGCATTCAAAAATAGGGATTTCAAAATGAATCAAAATAGCTATGCAAAATTTGGAAATAAACGCAGAAAACCATCAAAAATAAATTTCCTGGAAAAATGAAGTGAATATTTGGGAATGAGGCTATCAAAATTACCAAAATTTATTTTTTCCCCCATTTTGTAGATGGAAACTGCCACAGAGGATATCCACAAATCCCTAAATGACGTCATAGATTCTCAGACTCACTTCAAACTCCGCGAGGCAACCGGAAGAATATTCGCAGAGGAGCTCCATTCTCGCGTGAGTTACTGGTCTATAGGCGAGACTTTGATTATTCTTCTCATCGGACTCGGACAAGTGTTTATCTTGAGAAGTTTCTTCACCGAGAAGAAAACGAGTGGCATGCCTATTCATTCGTAATATCTTGACTCCAAGACCATTTATTTATGTTCAAATAATATTGTGTTCAATGTTATAGGTAAAATGTTTGTTCAAGTCAGGTAACATTACTCATAGAAATATATATTATTTATGAAAAAATGTAATTTTTTTTTCAAACATGTCCCATTAGTTAAGATTCTTCGTAACTTCTTTCAACTATTACGTTATTCAGACATTTTTTTAACGATCGATTGAACAAATTTAAATTATTACATGTATACATAACGTAGAAATAGATCATTTAATGGGGGATTTCTGGGCCTGACACAACTTTTAGAATGCTGTTACAGATTGTTTCATAACTGACATGATATCACAAATCGCCATACTGAGTGATTTGCTGTATTTAATAAGGCATAAAGATAATCCTATGAACACTATGTCTTTTTAGACCAAAAAATACACCTTTTTGGAAAAAATCCGAATTTGTTCTGAAGTGTTGAAAAATCCGATCTTATATTAGTAATCGCTTGTTTGTGTTTTCTTTATTTATATAGGTCAGATGTTTATATAGGTCAGATGTTTATATAGGTCAGATAGGTCTTGATTTTATACCTTTCCTTCTCATGTTGAGATAAAATACATTTATAGTAATTAAGGAATGAATTTAATAGATAGTTTTCAGTAGGCCCAAATTAGCAAGAGTTATTTCCCGTTGGCCGCCATATTGGAGGTCAACATGCTCATATTCCTTCATTATTCTACCAATTTTGACTTTTTATACTGGTCATTGTGGGGTAGGAAGCATTGTTTTTTCTGAAAAATATATATTTGTTAAAGCCTCCTTTATTTCATAATTTTTATTCTATAAAGATTTTCCCCCAGCTATTTCTGCTACACCCTCTTAGATTTGGTAAAACAAAGAGGAAAAAAATACCAGGTTGACCACTAAGATGGCGGCCAAGGGAAATAACTCGGAGAAAAAATCTGTCATATGAAAACTATATATACATTTATAGTGTTTATCCGCCATTGTATTTTTCTAGGAAAACAGATATGCATATATTTCTATAAAACACTGAATCTAACCGCAGGCACTGTTTGTTAGAAAAAAACCTAAGCAGAATAAATTAATACACGAATTTCTTTTGGAACTTTTGTTTTCTTATTTTCATTGTAATACAAAATTAAATAATTGTTTATCAGTCTTGTTCATTGAGAATGCGTTTACTAGTTTTATAATATTTTCAAAATGTAGGTGTTTGTTTCGCTTAATATTAATATCGATGAGAGCTTTAAAATTTACGGTTTCATTTATATATGTATTTAAAAATGAAAAGGGTTCTTGGTTATATTTATATTTATTATTGAATCATGCTTGTATAGTTATTATTATTCTTTCTCAAAGTTCTGAATGAGGTTTGGAAGTGTACATTTTAGCCTTAAACATATTTTTAAGATTATTTTTTAATGTACATTTATAGGAGGTACTTCAATGGTTGTGACTGGACATCAATGAATACTAATTAATGTTCATGTGTCAATGTTACCTCCCCTTTTTTGTCTGCAGAGTGGATTTGTATTTTAAGATCATAAGATACCCTAAATCTGAAAATGGGGATTTCATCATACTTTCTTCTTTTTTGTCGGTTTTTGGTTCAAATTGATTTGTTTTATGGTAAAAAGTAAATTAAATTTATATTTAATAGATATAATAGAGGTATTGATATAATATTGGCATAGGAATGGGGAGAATGAAAGAAAAAATAGGGCTAGTTTGATAGGAAGATTTCTTGATAATTTGAGTTTCTGCAAAAATTAAGCCTGCACAAAATGCTTTACAAATTTCTATATAGCATAATTTCTCGAGTATCATATGTCCTTAAGTACAAATTGCGTATTTTGGTAGTGTTTGTAGGTATGAACAGTATTTAAGAAAGCTCTAAACACCAACAAAAAGTGCTTTTTGGACTTGGAGAAATATATATCATGTAAATGTGTTCATACTGAGACTATTTAATTCATTTTCAACATAGGGTACCTGCCTTATTTCTGAAGGAAAAATGTTCAAAGAAAATGGACTATACGTGAACCGAAATCACTGTTGTTTACTTACACTGGGAATATTAATGGAAATAATGAATTCAATTACTTATTCTTGGCCTAATATAATGCTATGAATATTTTAATCTATTACAAATGGTGTAATTAACTGTAAATAACCATTTTTTCTATCTCACTTTCAAGGGCAGATAACTCTAACCTCATAAAACTACCCTACAATTAGAACTCTTTAGTGTGCAGTGTTTAGAGCTTCCTTAAGCCATGATTTAACAAATGGAGATAACGCCGTACGACAGAACTGTATGTAAGTGTGTTCTAGTGTATTGTTCTTTTGAGATCAAATGAAGTGTTGCAATAAAAAATAAATTCAGAAAAAAACTGTGTTACCATCTTTTTAATTGGGGCAGAACGAAAGCCTGACGGAATATTGTCAGTCAACATACTAGTATAGAAGTTGGTTGCAAGGTTCGAAATTAAAACACGCCGAAATATGGCTGAAATATTGCCGAATTGGCGTTAAGCAAAATTAATCAATCAATCGAAATTAATACACTCACTGAATTTGACAACCACTTTCTGGCATACATACCAGCTTTTCTCCATAATGCTGATAACTGTGAACTTGAAATCGGTTAGTGACAAAAAAGCTCACTAAAACATTTAGTAGCATGAAAGTCAATGAAGAGTATCAATCAATGCAATTTAGCGAAAATGTCATCAAGCATGAAATATGTGGAGATAGTGAACAGTATTCGAGCTCAAAAGTCCATTAAACATTACAAAATAGGAGCAAAGCAAACACGGACCTCTAAGACATCAGAGGTGGGATCAGGTGCCATGCAGGAATGATCATCCCCTGCTGTCCAGTCACACCCGCCGTGTGCTCCTTGTCATGATCATGAAATAACGAAATAATGTTTATAACTCAGTCTACCTGCGCCCAAAAGTAATGAAAAAGTATAACATTAATTTGTTTCACTTAAAAACCCAAATATTTTAATCTTTAAAAAATGTCGTCCACTCTATTTGCAAAACGTTGTGAAAGTTCACTATTATACTCTTTGTTAACGTTTGTAAAGTACCTTTAAGTAGATACGATATATGGATGTGCATGGTCATATATGATAAAATGCAAACTTTATGTGGTTGATCTAAGAATTTTGACAGTTTATTGACAAGCAGGAGTTATTTTTAAAAAGTATTGCTTTATAAGCATTTTGGAATCGTTATTAAACATATGACCCATTATTTGACATAAGCATTCTGCATGTTTTTATTTGCTGTAAGATATCAAAATTTAAATTTCGAAGAGCTTTGCCTGCCATCTTGTAAGTATTCAAAAACAGGTCTGCTTACTCGACAAAATTCATGAATCAACTAAGTCCTCAAGATGATGACTTGAATCTACAACAGTTTATATATGTATTTTGACCAAGGTCACAACCTATTTTTATTTTGACCCTAATGGTAATAGAAATTCTTCACTTCGCGTTTACACAAGAGTGACGTGTGGGTGATCTTGAAGAACACCTAACAGTGGGCATTGTTTTACACAAATGTTGTTTCACTTACGCCGTGCACCTAATTCATCACTTATTGCATGCAATTTCCTTCATTGATCAATCATCTCTGAAGTACATGCACATATATATCTATGCTTGGAGTCTTCAGGAATGAAATTTTCACGTTAGATAAATGTCACTGAATTAATTTTTACATTTTGCATAATTAATATAATTCAGGTAAATTTTTTTTAATTCAAATGTTTTCCTTGACTTATCATCAGCAAAGAAGGTATATTTTGCGTCAAATGTATAAAAAAGAAACAAACAAAAAGGCAAAAGGAACAAGAATTAACTGTACAATGAAAAACTTGAGATGATATAATGGCTGATAGTTGTGATGGCAGGTGTAAGATTCGTACCGGCCCGGTTTGTTGACAGATAGCTAAGTAGCTCCGCCATAAAGGTATATATTTTGATAAAACTGGATCTAGAGTGTTCTATTTATGATGCGATAAATAAACCAAATTCTACACAGGAACGGAACGAGGGCACCCGTTTACGACTATCGTATGGGAATATCAGTTTCGAGTACCCGTATATGAGCCTGCAATTTTGATTTTATATCATAAAAGCCAGTTGCGTGATTTGGGTTTAGCAAAATGGACTCCAAAGGACATTTCTTAATGTTCTCTAAATTATAATTTAACTTGAAGAAGCACCTTACTTTGATCGATTTGTGATCAATACCAGTACATTTGTGTTCAATTTTTGTAACAAAAAAAGAGTTTGACGAATTGACAAAAGAATGACACCATGACATTAATTTATTGCTGTTGAAGGAGATCTGTGTCGGTTGTATTTTATGAATGAGAAGTAGGGGTTATCAGGAAGAGAAATAACTGTCTGGTCGCTGGCAAATCAAAGAGTTGACGGATTTTTTGTTCGATGCGAAAGAGGTAAGTGAACCAATTTAATGTAGTTGAAAATAAATCTAAATATTGAAGGAAAGTCAAAGTTCCCTTTCTAAGGAGGAAATTCTTCGAAATTATATATCAGTTTTAAATATTTTTAATGTTCTCAACAACTAAATTGAATTTGAGTAACCATACCTATACTGGATTCCTAAACTTCATAAAAATCTGTACAAAGATACATAGTGCATGGGCTCTAGCAAATGTTCTACCAAGCTTCTTTCTTTACTCCTCACTAAAATATTAACAGCATCGAATGATAAACTTCAGGAGAACTATATACAACAATATATTCGAAAAGTGGTGTAAATCAGATGTGGATACTTCAATGAACTTTTATAAAATTTGAAATAACAAAATTTTACTAAAATAAATAGCACGAAAACGTACGACTTTTCAACACTTTATACAACCATTCTCTATGATAAATTAAAGAGTTTTTGACATCATACACAAAAAGAACTCGTGAATTTGCATCCCTTGTCATTGGTCAACTCCTTTTGTTAATAAAAACATTCTGATTCTAGGCACAAGTACTACGAGGTTGGTAAAGAATGCATGAGTTTTGATTTTCAGTATCTATGTAGTTTTTTTGAATTCCATATCTTACAACAATCTGTCGGAATTCCCATGGGTACTAATTGTGCCTCGTTATGAACAGAATTGCTTTTGTATTCATATGAAGCAAAATTTATTCAAAGTCTACTTGCTGTGTTCTTCGAGATTTAATCCAGGTTCTCATCAAAAGTGTATATTGAAAGAAAAAAAGACAATTTTTTCTCGGATTATTATTATTACTGTATATATATCAGTGCACATTGCAGTTATATTTTAGATAAGAGCAGCAAAATAAGATGGTGCAATCCAAATCAGAATTCGATGTTTGGGATTGGCTGCTTTTCGGAGCCATGTTGGCTGTTTCGGCAGGCATAGGGATTTTTTATGCTTTCGTGGGTGGACGACAGAAAACTACTAGTGACTTCCTAATGGGAGGTCGAAGTTTGCAAATGATCCCTGTGGCAATTTCTATCCTGGTATCCTTTATGTCGGCCATTTTGATTTTGGGAACTCCCGCGGAAATGTACACCCAAGGGACGCAATATTTTTTGTATTTGTTCGGACTAATCCTGGCAGTTATCCTGGCGTCTCAGCTGTTTGTTCCACTGTTGTACCCTCTTCAGCTTACGAGCTCGTTTGAAGTAAGTGCTGCGCATGTGCAATAAATAATCCATCAAGTGACATCATATGGAATCATGATTCAAATTAATAACAGATAACGACCACTTTTACTGACTAAATTAGTTTCATTACTAAAGTTGCACTGTACGACAATTAAAATTCTGAAGAAATTACAATGAATTCATACAGTTTATGGTTTAAATATTTCCTTAAACTTTTAAAATGAGAAAATAAATATATTGTAAAATTTTGATTCAAAGTAAATGCTTCTTAATTTTATTTCAGTACTTAGAACTGCGGTTTAAATCTAAGGCTGCCAAACTTACGGGAACTATAATGATGATTTTACAACAGGTATAAAATTTCCGGCAGATTCACCTAGTCATACATGTGTATTGAACAGGACAAAATGAGTTTGTTTTAGACCAGTGTAAACTTAGTTTTTGTGAGAGAAAAAGCTATTAAAACTCATTAAAAGTACAATCCTGATCTAGCCGCATAATGATCTGTGATTTCTTACCATTCAGTCATTTCATTCCTTAAAATAATCAATTAATAATTACGTTTTGAAAAAGTTAAGCTCAGTATTTACACATTTATGACATAAAATTTTCTCATTGTCCATTTTTTTAAAGAACAGAGGGTCACTGTTTAACAATTTGATGATTTCTTCTAATTAGTAACTCTTATCGATTATACTATGTATATTTTTTCTTTGTAGATCATTTACATGGGTGTGGCTTCCTATGCACCGTCCACGGCATTAGAAGCTGGTGAGTACTATTCATCATTAGAAAAATTGAAGGTTCACTAAAGTAAGGGATTTTTTTAATTTGTCAAACAATAGACCTTTTCTTGATAAAACGTTTGAACATGATTGACTTCTGGTCGGTTTTTGTACGTGCTTTTTGTATTTTAATGGGCTTTGATGAAAGTAAAGTTCTGGTTGTAGGCACTCTAAATGCCTGTCTTACTATAAATAGCACAACGGAAACATAAACAACAATCCAAACAGCGTTAAATCAGAAGCATCCCGTATACAAAAATGTGACATTGAGAGACGATACATTAAAAATATAGATTCTCGAATGGGATGTTAAACAACATACAGTCAATCAATCCAAAATAGATCAATCTATAGAAATGGTATTCGAGATTTTTGTTTGAGATTAAAATTGAGGATGATTTTGAACAATGTTTCTGATTTTTTATTCATATTATACTGTAAAACATTTAAGATAAATACTGTAGACCTTATCAGCCTAGGTCCCTTGTCACGGTAGGCGTTAGCACGATAGTGAACCTCTACTGTTCAATGGCCCTCGTTGCCGAGTATATATCTAAATTTGAAGCCCTTCATCGGTATATGGTGACGTCCCTATATGAATTGAAAATTTTTGAATGGGACGATAAACAGCATACAATCAATCATTCACTACTGAATTCGTATGAATGTGAACTAACTACTTTCCATGGTGTGAGGGGTTTTGATGAAGAAAGATAAGGGAAAATAGGTGAAAAGACGAATTAGATAATTGTTATATTTCCCTTTCATTTATTATTCCTTTGGCTCTTTTTCATAGCTATGAAAAGAAATTTTAGGAAGACGAACTTACATGTATGTATGTTGTGAACATTGTGTCGATTACAAGAAATTATAGCGTAAATCAGAATAAATTTTCATGTGTAAGTTTGCAATGATCAATTTCCTGTATTTTGCACATTTGTAGAACATTAATATTCAATCTCTGAATGAAAGTGATATCGTGTAATGCTGATTTGTTTGTGAAAAAAAAAAAACAGTTAAGTTAGTTAAAGATAAGGTGTAAGTTTTAATTCATGCGTTATGCTGTTGAATGTTTACGAAAATACCAGGTCTGCCAGTGTATCTGTACATTCCGCTGAGGATAGGAGATGAAAGTTTAAACCTATTGTTCTAAATATCCTAAAATATTATAAAGTGCTGGTCCAATTTTGATCTAAGAAAACACAAGTTATTAAAAACGGGTTCGAAAAACCCCCGGACATTATTTTTGGTTAATTATTGGTCCTATTGATGTTAATTGTCAAGTTGTTCTAAAGAGCGGTCCAATTTCAATATAAGAGAACATTATTATTACGAACGAGTTGCAAAAAATCCTTGGACATGAATCCTTTTATATAATTTAGGTTACAAACTGTAAAAGTTATTGATTATTCTGGAATATCATTTTTCATGACATTCGTTCTATAAGGAAAAGCTTAAAATCCATTTCTTGGAATAAAAAAGACAATGATATTAATTTTTAAAAAATCAAATAAATTAAAGGTTTAACTTTTACTTGCCATTAAATTATTTTTTAACATTTTAAATATCCTTGAAGTAACATTTTAAAAGATGAAAATTAAAGATAAAGTTTTCTTGGAATTGAAAATTTATGAAAGTGCAGAGAAAATGAAATCACAAGTACTTATAGCTGATCATGCTAATCACGCATGTACTTATATAAAGAGAAATCTCGAAGATTGATTTTTCTTTGAATTGATCATTTTTATCAGGGAGATCTGAGCCTCTGAATTTTCTTGGTGTTGAGCATTTTGAAAGTTATAACTTGATTTTATCATATTTGGGTTTAGATATATCTGAGCTACCTAAAATTATATGAAAACTTAATTTCATTTCGTGTACTATGGATTACTTTGGGAGAGGGAGTGATAATTTTAAATTTTAGAAACAGAATGAAGCTGTACATTTATCATTTTAAATATTTGTATGTTTTTTTTTTAAATTATGGATAATATATTGAAAGTCTTTAATAACCTATGAAATTTGAATTGGCTTTATCTGAAATCTTAAAGAATTATACAAATTTGAAAATACTATGTTTTTATTTGATAACCCCAATGAAATTTATATTAAGCCTGTCGGACAAAAACAAAAAACAAACAGACGTAAAATAGTGTTTAAAATATTTGTAATAGGTGGTTTCAATTAAGGAGCTGAAACACATTTTCTTTGATATCATAACCTAGAGGTAATATTTTCATTTTATACAAATTTCAGATCAAAATTAAAAGTACGTCTGTGGCATACTTTGTAAAACTTTTAATTAGAACTTTTTTTAAATTTTCATACTTGAAATATATGCTGCCAGAATGCTTCCACCTATCGTAAATCGAGTGTGTACATACTGGTAAAAAAATTAAAATATTGATAATAATAAAAAATATCATTGCTTCGAGACCATAAACAGAGTTTAGATTGTCAAAACTAAGATTTTGAATAAAACAAACATATTTTTAAAAGGTGCAAGTTTTTTTTTTAGCCTTTTAATACAGAGGCACTATGCTGAATATTGTTTTATTTTCAAAATTATTTCATAGTTGTACGAATTTAAAGCCTTTACTTCAGTCTTTTCTCAGTTTATGGCCTTGAAACTTTAATAACATTTATTTTATTTTAAAAAGAAACATACATAATGTTTAAATGATATGGATCTAAATACAACGCATTATAATGCGCTATGAGTATTTTGCCAGTCTCTGCTACAAAACCTCTTGTGCCGCATTAAAAGAGACCCACGAGACTAAAACTTCCTCTGAAGATTATAAGTTCCCCAGGCTATGTTTACTTTTGGCCTCACCTGGAACTGGTCATAGACGTAGACTTTCAGTATTTTTATTTTTATTTATCAAATATGTTTCAATAGTAACAAATATATTTATTACTTAAATATGCAAAAAAAAAACTACCGGTATTTTATTTTCAGAATTATTTCAAATTATGCTATTTTAAAATTTTTACTTAAGTCTCTCAGTGTTTGGTCTTAAGACTCATTTGACAACAAGTACCCAAAGAGACTTGCTAATTGACTGTTATGAATTTAAACATAAACAGACGTAAACAGATAGCGAAGAAAAAAAAAATCAGAACTATTATATTATCAAACCCGGCTCTCAGTACATTCAATACTTTGATTTTCTGTAGCATATCATGGGTGTTTCAAAGGACTTTTAAGCATGGTCACTCTTCACTGTCTTCATATTCTGTTTTCCCTTGTTCAGGAGCTTTAACGTTGAGAGATTGAACACTAAGATTAATCAGTTAAGGTCAACGGCAACCAGTAATGAGTCCGGACATATTTCCAGAAATTGATGATTATATATGTTACAATATGTTTTCGCAAATTTCAATTAATCTGTAAAAGGGAGGGGGAGACCAAACTTGGATGACCTGTCATCAAAAACTTTTTTTTCTGTAATTTGAAAGTTACTGGGTTTCCTACGTGGGCGACCATCATCACAGTCGGCGTTGTGTCTACGTTCTACACCTTTCTGGTAAGTACGCATAAATTGATGACGTCTAGTCAATAGTAAAATGATCTGTAATAAGTTGACAGTACACATGTCTGTGCAGTTATTTCTTAAAATATAAAATATATTTTATAGTGTTGAAGAATGTGAAAAAAATATTAATGTATCTAATATTTGATATGTTGTTTTTCAAATTATATTTCATATATTTTTGATGATTATTTTAAATTACACTAGACTTTGACCCGTGCGTGCACGGGTTGACATTGTTATGAATGCATCCATTTGCATATCGGACATTTACAAAATAGATACATCGACACATTCATATTGCAAGGTATTTTTGAAATAAACAATGAATGTTAATATAATTCTGGGGTTTTTTGTGTTTGTTTTGTTTTGTTTTCGTTTGTTTTTTTTTTTAAATTGTTGCGTAACGGCGTAGCGCAGAATGGGTTTGACCACCAGTTAGCTATAAATCATGTCTTGAGTTCGAATCACGCCGGAGCTTACATAAATTTCACCTTTCCAAACAAATTTAATAAAAGAAATTATGGATGTTCATTGAAAATATGACAACAGCAAAGAGTTGAGCACACTGCTGATACATATCAAGCAAAGTAATGAAAATGAAGAAATGTGCTAAGCTGGTATTTTTTACACAATCAGTTATTAAAGTAAAGGTGTAAAAATTTTTGTAACAATTTTAACACTGCAGGTCTCAACTTTTTCAAAATATGACCTCAACAATAAAAGAGTTAAGCACTGCTAATACATATACTTTATATATACACAGGTAATAGACAGGTATATAATCTGTAAAAGACTGTCTGTTTTGATAAAAATTAATGCAATATCCTTGAATTAGAACATAGAAAAAGTAATAAAAATAGAAGCTTAATTGAGAAAAAATAAAAACAAATTGGTAATCTTCAAGTACCAATGATGTTTAAAATACATAAAACAAAAGACAGTATTCTTCCGATTTATCGGTATTAAAGGCCAAAAATTCGAGTCTATAATTTTTATATAGTAGTTATTGTAATTTTTGGCGGAAAAAGAATGCCTACTTCACTCACAGGCACTTGGGGTATGGACCCCCCCCCCTTTTCCATTTTTTTTTTCTTTTTAAATCTGGGGTCGAGTCACCTTTTTCCTATTTTTGTATTCTAATATGCACTGTATGTTATCAATAATGTAACTCTTTTGTCTCTATAAGCTGTTTTTAAATATATCGTTTTCGACTGATACATTAAAAGAGAGAAGGCTTGCAACTCTTTTCTCGTCGTCTGCCTCACCTCGCTTAAACTTCGCCTGATTATTTATCGAAAGAATAAGAAAACATGGAATATGCATACATCAGTAAATTCGTTATACATTCTTCTTTCTTTTCATTTTTCCATTTATTTTTTATGTGCCCCCGATTTGTAAATATTTCGATTAAATCACCCACATCTACTGATCTAGGGTAAATTTTGTTGATGTGCACCAGCTGGGACGGAAGTGCAATAACGGTAACTCTAACTTTATAAATGTTCGGCATTTAAAAAAAATTCCAAGCTTTGCAATAACAATATTGTGAAATTTAGTTGTCTAAGTCGTCTGTTAAAAGTTAATCTTCATACATTAAAATTTGCTAGTTACAGTTATCTTGTTATTCACAGAACTTACCGTTACATGTTATATGAAGAGAAAATTCGGGATTTATTCCTTCTCGCATTTAATGTTCCGAAAGACATTACACGTAATGGTGATACCCGAAAATACCGGGCACTTCCGTCCCAGCTGGTGCACATCAACAAAATTTACCCTAGATGCGGGTGATTTAATCGAAATATTTACAAATCGGGGACACATAAAAATTAAATGGAAATATGAAAAGGAAGAAGAATGTATAACGAATTTATTGATGTATGCATATTCCATGTTTTCTTATGCTTTCGATAAATAATCAGGCGAAGTTTAAGCGAGGTGAGGCAGACGGTGAGAAGAGAGTTGCAAGCCTTCTCTCTTTTTATGTATCAGTCGAAAACGATATATTTAAAAACAGCAAATAGAGACAAAAGAGTTACATTATTGATAACATACAGTGCATATTAGAATACAAAAATAGGGAAAAGGTGACTCGACCCCAGATTTAAAAAGAAAAAAAAATGGAAAAGGGGGGGGGGTCCATACCCCAAGTGCCTGTGACTTCACTAAGATGTGATTCTAACTGGAGTTGTAACACACACACACACCCCTTCAGTTCCCCTCAAAAAAGCACAAAAGAAAGGAAGGATAAAATAAATCGGGTAGTTACATTAATGTTGCTCCTACGATCATGAGCTTTTTGCCTCCGTTGAAATGGCCATGCAGAGATATAAATAACATATAATAAATGTGTCTCCGAGATGGCGAATGATTACCCACGTGGCCACAATATCGCATTTGTACGGATATAAACTCAGAAACGATTACGATAATACAAACATAGACGTCAGAAGCAAATTGAAAGTGGGGTGGCTATTTGAAAGGGGGGGGGGGGCTAAACCAACGAGAAAAGGTAAGCCCCAGTTTTCAATGCCTATATTATGCCTATCTTTGCAAAAAAAAAGTGGGGGGAGGGGGGGGGGGGCTAAGCCCCCCTAGCCCTCGGTTCCGACGCCTATGACAAATACGTGTAAATTTTCATTGGAAATTTGTTATATATTCTGTTCATATACATTAATGATTTCTTATTAGAGAAATTATACAATAACAAATATATATCTACTTAGTATTTACTTTTGTCTTCTCTGATTTGAACACACTCTCGACCAACGGCTCATACATTCGTGTATAAGAGAGAAACGAACGACAACTCTGCAAGGGAGATTGATTTGAACACCGTGATTTAGCGTGAATGTAATGCGCACGCGCAAGATTGTAAAATCCAAAAAATCCAGATGATTTCCGGAATTTTTGGAGGAATTTTCGTTGATTATTAATTAGCGAAGCTTAATTGAGAAAAAATAAAAACAAATTGGTAATCTTCAAGTACCAATGATGTTTAAAATATATCAAACAAAAGACGGTACTCTTCCGATTTATCGGTATTAAAGGCCAAAAATTCGAGTCTATTATTTTAATATAGTAGTATAGATTTTTAGAGGTTTTGTTGGTATCTCCACGCTTCTTAAGGTATTTGTCTTTTTGTTAATGTCACCTTGCACTTTTTTTAGGGCGGAATGAAAGCTGTTATTTGGACTGATGTTTTCCAGTCAATCATTATGGTTGCTGGACTGTTAGCCGTTGTTATTCAGGTTGTGCCTATTCAAGCAACTATTTCTTTATTAAAATTAACATTCGTAAAAATTTAAGATAGCGAATATTCTTAACTCAGGGAAAGTTACTTCGTACTGATATTTTTACAGGGCACAATATCCGTGGGTGGTATCAACACTGTTTGGAAAATCAACGACGAGTGGCAAAGAATTGAATTTTTTGAGTAAATAAGCATAAAAATTTTGATATATATGAAATAAATGAAGTTAACTTTCTGAGAAGTAATAGATATACGCGCATTCTTTCCTTATACTTGATTTGACATAAGATATTTTTACCAAATCAAACCAAGGCACCTTTAAATGGTATCAAAAACATGAAACAGAAAGAGAACGTTTTCATGAAATATACTTCATGTACAGAAATAGCTGTGAGCGATCTTGCAGTTAACTTAATACGTGACTTGTAGAATTATTAAGTTCTGCATTATATATCTGTTTTTAGTTTTAACCCTGACCCCACCCAGCGGCATTCCTTCTGGTCCCTGATTGTAGGGGGTATGGTGGGATGGACTGCTACATATGGTGTTAACCAGGCTAGTGTACAGCGATACTGCGCCCTCCCCACTCTAGCTAAAGCTAAAACGTAAATATTATATCAATGTTGTGTCATTCAGAAAACTATTGTTATAAAAGTGTCACATTTTTCTTCATCACTATTCATGTGATACCCTTGAATAATACTTCTTTTAAAAATCATACTAGCATTGCATTTAGGTGTGATTTCCTGTAGTAGTCTGGAATATCTCGGAGGATTTTTGTAAATTGAGGCTCCAAGTTTAGACAATAAATAAATGATTCTTTGTCAATTTTTTGATTGAATTAACATACATTAGTGATTTTCTGATGCTTAATTAGTTGTTTTCTGTCTGACTATGCTTTTTTAAAATATACAGTCCAATTTTATTGCCTACATAATTTTGTTTTTCTGTCAGTTAGTTTTTTTTTTTGTGCTTCATTTCTACACCAATTATCTTTGTATCAAACTTTTTTTCTTTATTGTTCAAGAACTCAATGTTGTTTTCAGCCTTGTATTTCTAGTTTTGTGTTGTTTTATTGTTACCTGTGTAGTTTTGTTGTTCAGTAATGTACTGCTATTACCTGCTTTGTTATGTTATTCTTTGATTCGTCGCTGTAATGGTGAACATTTAGGTATGACTTTCATCCTTTATGTTACTGTTGTAGTTTGTTATTTTGTTGTATCAGTGCTTTTCTGCTGAAAATTCTAGGTATTGCCCTTTTCCTCCTGTGTTACCTTGAATTTTGTTGTTTTATTATTTCAGTGCTATATTGTTGTTACCTGTGTTGTTTTGTTGTTTCAGTGCTGTACTGTTGTTACCTGTGTTGTTTTGTTGTTTCAGTGCTGTACTGTTGTTACCTGTGTTGTTTTGTTGTTTCAGTGCTGTACTGTTGTTATCTGTGTTGTTTTGTTGTTTCAGTGCTGTACTGTTGTTATCTGTGTTGTCTTGTTGTTTCAGTACTGTACTGTTGATACCTGTGTTGTTTTGTTGTTTCAGTGCTGTACTGTTGTTATCTGTGTTGTTTTGTTGTTTCAGTGCTGTACTGTTGTTATCTGTGTTGATTTGTTGTTTCAGTGCTGTACTGTTGTTATCTGTGTTGTTTTGTTGTTTCAGTACTGTACTGTTGTTATCTGTGTTGTTTTGTTGTTTCAGTGCTGTACTGTTGTTATCTGTGTTGATTTGTTGTTTCAGTGCTGTACTGTTGTTACCTGTGTTGTTTTGTTGTTTCAGTGTTGTACTGTTGATACTTGTGTTGTTTTGTTGTTTCAGTGCTGTGCTGTTATTACCTGTGTTGTTTTGTTGTTTCAGTGTTGTACTGTTATTACCTGTGTTGTTTTGTTGTTTCAGTACTGTACTGTTGTTACCTGTGTTGTTTTGTTGTTTCAGTGCTGTACTGCTGAACATTCTAGGTGTGACTCTCCTCCTCTGTGTGACATGTGTAGCTGGGATCGTGGTGTTTGCGTATTACGTAGATCAAGGCTGTGATCCTTACACAAACAAAGACGTCAGCAACTCAAACCAGGTAAAAAAAAACAGTAATGAAATAAAACAAGGACGACATGATTTTGATATGAATTTTTAAAAGCAAGATGTTGGATAATTTTGGAAAGAAAGTCTTCCTTATTCGTAAATTATACTCCTTACCTTCACAATATGAATTCGTATGTTTTTAATGTTGTTTAATGTCCCTCTCGAGACTTTTTCTCTCATATGAAGACGCCATCACTTCCCGGTTGAAAGCTACAAATTTATACCTTAAATCGGCACTCAGGGCCATTGAGCAGTTTGTGATCTTTTTCGTGCCAACACCTACTGCGACACGGGACCTCGGTTCTTTTACGTTCTCATCCGAAGGACCAGTGTCCATACATATATAAACAAATATATTCGAAATAAGACAGAGAGACAGATAAACAAATGTATTGGAAACATAAACAGGTTATCTAATTTAGAAAAAATGGTAAAAATAATGAAACAAAGAGTTATCTTTCTTGGGACTTGCACATCGTTTTCTTAAGGACATGGGCAATGTAAGTTTGATCTTTATTTTTTTTTTTCCCCTTATTATCGAAGAGTTGCAATAATTGAAGGAATTTTGTATGACTTTCATAATGTATTATGATACTTCTTAAAACTGTGTTTGGTAAATTTTTAATTGAAAAATTACACGGATTTTCACCATTTGATGTCTTTTCAAAGACCCTAGAAATATATGTTGATTTTTTTGCCTAAGAGCATCCAATGGTACTATATTGTACTATAATTTTAAATTAAGAATATGTTGAATGGGTAAGGTTCTCTTTAATGTACGTTATACATGACTTTAAGAATTCCTTCACAGATTATCCCGTACTTTGTGATGGAGACGCTCGGATACCCGGGGATTCCTGGTCTGTTTGTGGCCTGTTTATTTAGTGGTGCACTCAGGTTTGTATGAACCAACGTCATTTCAATACTTATATTAGAAAAAAAAATCAATGACCTTCAACAATATATATTTTTTTCAATTTCCCGAATACTGTAAACCAACTTTTATTCGCGTGCGAGAAATATTCGGGAGTTTTACGACCTACTTTAACTCGCGAATATTTATTGTCGCGAACCATTTATTTTGCTTTGTATTTGTGGGGAATGTTTCCCCAGTGGCGAAAATTAATCGTCGCGGGTTGATTCTAAGCTGACGAATCGCGAATAAAAGTTGACGCTAATAATAGTTTGGTTTACAGTATATCAAATATGTAATTGTTGAATTGATTTACATGTAACTTAAAGAGGTGACAGATTTTAAAAAGATTAAAGCCATCACTAGAATAATTTATCTTATTGCAGTACAATGTCGTCTTGTCTGAATGCGTTGTCAGCGGTCACATGGAAGGACATCTTGGAACCTTTCTTAGGAGAGAGGACAGAAACACAGAAAACCTGGATCACGAGACTTCTGGGTAAATAATTGGAGATTGTAAAAAATCATATTTTACAGCCTGTTTAATTCGTGCAATATCTTTAATGCCTGTTTTATTTTGTTCTGTTTGGTTTGATATTTGGTTTGTTTTGTTTTCTTGGTTTTTTGTATTTCTAAAACATAGAAAGCTATATTTAGACGTTCATCGAGTAAGTACTTAATAAAAGTAGATAATATTAGAATGATGTACTATTTCTAGTGGCCTTGTATGGCGGGGCAGGAATAGGAACTGCTTTTATGGCAATGAACCTGGGAGGGACAGTCCTTCAGGTACTTTTTATATTTTCTAATTTTGTATATAACAGTGTAAATTCTGTAAATAACTGCTGAAAACTTTAACGTCCGTGGACAGAATTATGTAAAACCTTATTTTGTCATTTTCCAGGCTTCCTTGAGTTTTACTGGGGCTGCCTCCGGACCTTTGCTTGGGATTTTTGTCCTCGGAGCCTTCTTTCCATGGGCTAACTGGATAGTGAGTATTTATTATAGTAAAAGTGGGTAATATGTATTGAATATCGACGTAAAATTCGTTTAATATCGAATATCAAACTGAATGGTCATTTTTTATCGTTATAGCAGATAGTCAGTATTGAATTTCAACATGAAAGTCAATTAATATTGAATATCAAACTGGATAGTCAGCATTGAATATCTACGTAGAAGTCAACCAATATTGATTATCAAACTGGGTAGTCAGTATTTACAGTAAAAGGGGATAGACAATATTAAAAATAAAAGTGGATAGTAATAAATAAATATCAAACTCATTAGTCGGTATTTAATATCAAACTGGATAGTCAGTATTAAGGATAATCAGCATGATTACATGTCAACCTAGATAGTCAATATTAATAATCAGACAGGGTAGTAAGTATTGAATATCAAACTGGATAGTTAGTATTGAATAACTGGATAGTTAGTATTGAATGACTGGATAGTTAGTATTGAATAACTGGATAGTTAGTATTGAATAACTGGATAGTTAGTATTGAATGACTGGATAGTTAGTATTGAATAACTGGATAGTTAGTATTGAATAACTGGATAGTTAGTATTGAATGACTGGATAGTTAGTATTGACTATCAAAGTAGTTAGTCAGTATTGAATATCAGACGTATTTTTCAGCATTTGATATCAGACGTAAAAGTTTATTCATGAATATGATCTCAGAAACATAGATTGGAGCAATGTCAATTTTGCCAAAGAGATTGAGCGCTCCTGTGAAACAATACATAAGATATGATTATTTGAAAAATTCTAAATAAAAAACACATATTATTTTCTTTTTTTCGTTTCATAAAGGAAAAAAAAAAATATTTGTAAGCATATCATTTTTCAATGTTAAGATTACTATTTCAATGCTAGGAATACTACTTCAGTAATTTAAAATCAGTCTTTGAATATTTAATACAATAAGCATCTTTTTCTTTGTAATCTCTGTGGTAGGGTGCCATAATTGGTAGTATCTTCGGGCTGGTACTTCCGTTCTGGATCAGTATCGGGGCCTACAGTGTAGTGGGAGCGCCTAATCCACTTCCGTTTCCTACAGAGAACTGTACAAGTCCTGAAAACTCGACCCTCCTCACAAACATGACAACGACGACCACTCCTGTCCCGCCAATGTAAGTACAGTTGTGTATTAGGTAGACAAAAGAAAATGAAAGAGTTAGCTTATTGTAAACCTCGACCCTCCACACAAACATGACAACGAAAGTGAAAGAGTAAATTTATTGTTAATGTTTATGAAACATGGATGTCTATCGTTATTAGTCCCCTACCGGTGAAACCGGAGGGGACTATAGGTTTCCTCTGAGTCTGTCCGTCCGTCTGTCCGTCTGTCTGTGCCTCTGTCTGTCTGTCAGTCTGTCCCCTTGGTTTTCCGCACTTTTTTTTAACACTTGCAGATATTGAACTGATTTTTGGTATGTAAGTGTATCTTGATGAGTTACAGATTAATTTTGCATTTCGTTCCGCTTCAATGATTTTTGGCGGAATTACGACCATTTCAATTTTGTAGGGTTTCCGCAATTTTTTTCTAAATGCTTGCAGATATTGAGCTGATTTTTGGTATGTGCCTTTACCTTGATGAGTTATAGATCAAGTTTGCATTTCATTCCGCTTCATTGATTTTTGACGGAATTATGGCATTTTTAATTTTTAGCGGGAACCAGATTACACTTGCCGGTAGGGGTATTAGTATTAGTACTAGTATTGCTAATGCAATACTCTCAGAATGCTTGTTAGTCCCCTACCGGTGAAACCGGAGGGGACTTTAGGTTTCCTATGAGTCTGTCCGTCCGTCTGTCTGTCTGTCTGTCTGTCTGTCTGTCCGTCTGTCTGTCTGTCCCTCTGTCTGTCTGTCAGTCTGTCTCACTTGGTTTTCCACACTCTTTTCCTAAACGCTGGCAGATATGGAGCTGATTTTTGGTATTTGAGTGTATCTTGATGAGTTACAGATCAAGTTTGCATTTCGTTCCGCTTCATTGATTTTTGACGGAATTATGGCCTTTTCAATTTTTAAGGGTTTTCTGCAATTTTCTTCTAAACGCTTTCAGATATTGAGCTGATTTTTGGTATGTGACTTTACCTTGATTAGTTATAGTTCAAGTTTGCATTTCGTTCCGCCTTATTGATTTTTGACGGAATTATGACATTTTCAATTCTTAATGGGAACCGGATTACACTTACCGGTAGGGGACTAGTATTGCTAATGCAATACTCTCAGAATGCTTGTTTTGGAGTAATCATTCTTTAATAAAGTTTTTCATTGCTGTTCAAAATCGAAACCTAAATGAAACAGGAAAGATTTTCCTTTTTTTTCTGTTTCAGCGAGGGCCTGGATGTCCTTTACACTATATCCTATTTATGGTACCCCTCCATAGGGACAGCCACTGTCGTCATTGTTGGTCTGTTTGTCAGTTTGTTCACAGGTATGTGCAAAGTTACCCCAGAGTCAGGGGTCATAAAACGTAGACGAGCTCACTTTAATCCCTGTCTCACTTTTAATTAAGGAAATTATTGCAAAAAGTGTGACTGGAATAGAAAATGAGATCATCTAAGTTTTATGAACACTGAGCCAAAATGGCTTTTAAATTGAGAAATTCAATGGATATCAAGTTATTTCACAGTACCTGTCTCTGGCGATCTATAATACCTCATACAGGTATTTCATACGAGATTGATTACCTCAAAGTTCCATGCAAGTTGGAAAATCATTTTTTTTTTATTTCTTTGTATTTCGTATGTACTTCTTGGAATAAATTATATTTAACAATGAATTCTGATGTAATTTTTTTCTTATAAAAGGTACAAGTAAAATGAATTGTAATGAATCTATATACATCGATTTACTGCTTAAGAAGAAATCGCATTTAAACCCCCTGTTACCTGGTAATCACTTGAAATTTACCTAACTGTTCTTAAGGGTTGACGCCTAAGGATGATGTAGACAGTAAATACTTGATCCCTCTATTTGACCGGATCTTCTGTTGCCTGCCGGGAAAATTCCGACGGTGTCTACGCTGTTACATAGAATACGAGGATCCAGAGGTAACTTTTTCATAGGAACTTCATTTTTTTCTAAATATTCTTTTTAAATTTTTTTTAGAAATATTGTTTGTTTGTTTGTTTTTGTTTTTTCATCTCCAATATTTATTGAAATAGATTTGATATCAATTTTGAAAATTTCTTCTTCCTGTAAAAATTGTGTTTCTTTATTTAAAAAAAAACTGTATGTAAAATTTGTGTAATGTCAAAGAAAATTTATCGGTTACAACAAAACTTTCTGATGTGTGATTCTACGGTATATTTGTACGAATGTCATTTTTTAGGATATAAAAGCAGAGAAGGATCTAGAATTTACAGTAGATCCTGACAGACCAGTCATCTTACCGATAAAATCCGAGAAGTACCGAGAGAAGATGTACCAGAATGAACCAATAGGTGGTATATCATACAAGTCTTTCTATGTATCTGAGAACGGGCAAAATAACCCCGGGTTCGAAACAATCGAAGCACCGCCTTCATATTCAGACGTCCAGGAAAATGATGGAGGGACGGCAAAGACAGAGTTATAATGATTTCTCTTTACCTATCAAAATATTCTGTGATAAAGTCCATTTGTAAATCCTATGTGTGGATCTCATCAGTTATGAAAGTCTATATCATTATAAATGTGCCTTTATTGTGTGTCGTATATTGATAAGAGACATGTTATAAGAACTGAACCTAGTTCTGTAAGAGTATTGTAGTAGTCGGTAATTGTGTATCATTCACGCAATCACGTGACGGAGTGATCCGACTTTCCGGATCATCACACTGCGGTTTTCTAAGTCCATATCACCTCTCCCTGAAACTGGTGACGTAGTACACCATATACATGACGTTTCTTTTTTTTCTTGTTTTTTTGAAAAGTCTTTTGTCTAATAGATAAAATTTGTTATAATTGATCCCAAAAGTTTACTTTATAATTTTTATCTAATAATAGAGGGGTATTGTACAAAATAAATTCATCATTTCATACTCGACGCTTCGCCTCTCGTTTAATCTGGAGATGCATGCATGCATCAACTCGACGTGATACGGCTCTTCGGATCAGTTATAATGATATTAAGTGAGTTATATCCTTATCAAAACATCTATCCCAACATTCTTATGATATTTGTATTTGGTGTAGTTTTGTTAATATATGATTATGATATTTTAAGATTTTACTAGAAATTGTTCAATCGTACTTTATTACTTTAAGTTTCACTGCTTATCAAAATATACAAATTATAAAGTAATTAAGTACGAAAGTGGGTGATTTACAGGAGAATAATGTATTTGTACATATAAATAACAATGAATTGTAAAATTACAGTTTTGCCAGGCGCTATAATAAATATATATATTTGCCAAGATTACACATATTTTTATTCTCAATATTAAAAAATTATAATTATAACCTGTCCATAATCGGTTTTTTAAAAGAAATAATTCTTTAAAAAAATTAATTTTCTACTACAATCTGCATATACAGGATATACATGTAAAGTGATCAGCATACATTGATATCAATGGCTAAATAAAAAGATTCTTCAATGGACAATGATATAAACATATGTTCACATCCACTGAAATTTTTCTCCTTTATTTCACTCCTTTCATCAAAAAACGCCGGTTAGAACAGGTTTTTCAAGCCACCTGTATAGGTTTTTTATGCAGTGTGCTTTTCCATTAATGAAACACGCATTGACGTACATATCAAAAGTACAATATTTAATATACTAATACTTACTTTATATGATTAATTATACAGATACAAATATAAACAGTAAAGTATCTGTTTGTTAGTACGCGAATTAACGGCTACAGCTGTTACGTTAATTCCCCGTTCTAACAAAAAAAGCATTTTATTGTTTAAGTAATTGCACTCTCATACCTTTGTTCGGAAGGTTTGACCTATACAGGTAGGCCAAAAAGATCAAACCTTATGGCAGTTCCATCACCAAAATGTTTTTTATTATAGAAAATCACAGGTCTTTCAAAGGAGATCCTAAACCAGTGTTGCAGATGACGTCGGCATAAAAAAGAACCCTTCCTTCTTTGCTTCAGGCCAAGAACACGTGTATATGTGTGGCGCATCACATAGCTAGTAATTATGAAATATGTGGAGATAACGAACAGTATTCGAACTCAAAAGTCAATTAAACATTACAAATAGGAGCAGAACAAACACGGACCTCTAAGACATCAGAGGTGGGATCAGGTGCCGTGGAGGAGTGAGCATCCCCTGCCGACCGGTCATACCCGCCGTGTGCTCCTTGTCATGGTCGGGAAATAATGGAAAAATCAGTCGATGTGATTACATACTTCTAACTAACTCTAAACCATACACTATATGCAATAATAAACAGGATTAAAACATCATTGCAATGTAATATGAGTATGATTTTATTTCCCTTTAAAAATAAAAAGCAAAAAAAATGATCAACGTCAAAAGGTGAATTCAATAATAAGAAAATTGGTACTTAATTAATTTTTCAAACAAAAATCAATTCATTTTCAAAGAATGATATATCATTTTGAATATTTTCATATGTAAAATTCAAAGAAAAAAGTAAGCAAAAATTAGTGATTTTGCAAATTTAACTTGACTGTTTGACATCGTCTCATCTATCGTTTTCTTTAGGAATAAATTGCAATTAATGTACTAATTAATGATTCTACACAGGAGATGCAGTCATTTGTCACATCCGATGCATCACTCAAAGACCAAATCATGCGTAACCAACTCCCAGAATTATGCAATGATTGAAAGCTGTGATTCTTTTTTTGATTAAATAGAGCTTTTAATATTTGACTCTGCTCAGTTTATTTAGCCGCGGGTCGGTCTAATATTGGTGACTTGAATTCTCCCCCAAACAAGCTAATTTTAGGATAATTTATCATCTTATTGCGAGATGCTGTGAATTTCAATTATCCTGTTGTCGAACATTTGTTCCTGATCTGGATTTTTTTAATCGTATTTTTCCTTCTTTGAAAATTTCAATTTTCTTTGATTGGTAGAATTATGATAAGGATTTTCCAGAGAAATTTTCAGAGAAACCCAATATCTTACACATAAGGTAGGTTTTTTGCTTTCTATTATAGACTTTAGAATAAATAATACCACTTCATATATATATATATATATATATATATATATATATATATATATATATATATATATATATATATATATATATATATATATATATAGACAATGTTTCTTTTCTATTAATCACGGATTATGAACACTATATACTGAGCCAGCTGAGATGTTCTTCATATTTAATCAAACGGTTTTACTGACAGTTTTTATTACATTTCAACTCATCTTGAGCTAAACCTCGAGTGCGTTTTCCTGATAAAAAGTTTGTTAGCTTTTCACATTTTCAACTTTTCGAGAAAAACTGGACCAATTTCAACCAAAGTTGGCTAAGGTCATGCTTTGCCTAGAGGAATGCAAATTTATTTAAATGAAAGCCTGCACCCCTTTGAAAGAAAGATAACTAATAATTAGGGTGGGGTCACACTAAATGGCTTCACAATAACAATTGAAGTAGAAAATAAAATACAAAAGAGTAAGTTCAAAATTATAAAAATATTGGCTCCAAAGCCAGATTTGAGCCACAGGAGAAAAGTCAATAGAATTCAGAGGTAAAGTATTTTTAAAACCCAAAGAGCTGATTTTAATCATTTCAATATACAAACACCCTATATTGTAAAGATTAAAGTAATATTCCTTGTCCTAAGATGGCGGCACAATGAAGTCTCAAGAACAGGGGGGCTTAAGTTAACTACTTTTCATATTGAAATATTCCAGTATATATTACATTATTTTTATTTTGACATTGATTCGAATCATCGCACCTGGAGCTTGGATGGTGCAGCATGAGAGATTCAAAATTTAACAGAATAAAATCTATTTAAAAACTTTCTCTAGGACAGAAAGACTGTATTACATAAAGCAAAATTGATTTGCACATACCCTTATGTAGCGCATTCCGAGGTTTCTTCTTTTAATAATACCCAGGGCGTACATTTGCACAAAAAATTAACAAATGATTAGTTCATTTCAGCAAGATAATCAATAAAACAATTTGAAGGCTTGACCTCTCTCACAACAAATTGTTGATATCATAGGATAAGTTGGTTGTTTCAATAGGGAGATTCATTTCTTTCAGAACTTAATTTGTCAAAATGAGAGGTAAAATGAAGAGCAAGATTAGCAACACACAAATATTCTTCATTTAAAACCGGAGTAATAGATAACAAGTTCACTATATATATTATATATTTTATTTACATTGAAATGTCTAAGTTTTTTTTTTTTTTGGTTTTCCCGATCATGACAAGGAGCACATGTCGGGTGTGACCGGTCGGCAAGGGATGCTTACTCCTCCATGGCACCCGATCCCACCTCTGATGTTTTTGAAGGTCCATGTTTGCTCTACTCCTGATTTGTATTTCTTCTATGGACTTTTGAGCTTGATTACTGTTTGTTATCTCCTTACTCGATGTATATGATTTTAACATAATGGAGTGCAATTTTACAAACATTTTTCTATGTGATCGACTTTCTAAATATAATTATTTATTGTTAGACTTTAGCATTTAAATCGTTTTGAGGCTAAATATTCTTGATTAAATTTGCATAATATATGACAAACATTAATTAGTGGGAAATACTCTAATGATTTTAGAAGTTATATTAATATGTATCACAGGCACAGATAATACACAATAAGAATTAACAAACTGTGACGATTAAACCTGTCTTCCCTGTTTTTTGAATGTATTAGTCCCTTGTTAAGTTTTGATAAATAGCTGCATTGTTGTGAACTTTAGAATAGATCACTAAATTAAAATGGATTATGATATTCATACACTTTGACTTATATTTACCTATAATTAACATCTTTTATACACGGTGATAATCATTTGATGAATTCATCTATCAAGTTTTATGTGAAAAACTAGATAAAGAAATAATAGATGTTATGATCGCATTTTTCCTTAAAGTAAGTAAGTTTGAGAGAGATGGCATAAATTACATTTTTTGTAAATGTATTGAACTCATATGGCAAGTGCGTTTTGATACCGATAAAGATAAAATGGAAATAATTTATTGCATTTTTAATCACTAAAAGAGTGAGGGCCCCTACTGAGAGTACTTATAATTAGCATGTGTAATAGTCAGTGTTCAGAAAATTGTTAACACATTTAATCGTCAATGATGTGACTTATTGCATGGTTTCTGAGTAATCACGGCCGGAATTTATGATTTTTTTTTTGGTTTTTTTTTTTTGGTTTTTGTTTTTTGTTTGTTTGTTTGTTTGTTTGTTTGTTTTTTTTTTGGATAAAATCTTCATAACGAACAAGGCAATGACCTTGTCATAATAACCTTTTGGGACAGACAGAGGCAAAAAGACGGACAAATTATATCGTTGTTTTATAAAGGAAACAAGTTGTAGTTGTACCATATGACTGAAGCAAAACAAATTAAGAAAAACAACAATAACAAAAAACAAGAAAACACCTAAAAATAAAACGAAGAAACCCAACAAAAATACAGTATTTTATTACTAAGCAACATATATGATATACATGTATGTTAAATAAAACGCCGAATGGCTGCTTTATCAGACATTATATGGAGAACCATTATCCATACATTACAAAATGATCGCTTTTTTGAGCCAGATAAGAAGATAATAATTTTTACAAGTATGTACGCAATGGACAACCCAAACATATATGATTTAAAAATGAAAACGCACCTTTATAATCTTAAAGTTGATAATATTAGAATATACAATACTCGTTCGTTACATTGCATTAAAATAAGTGTTCCTTTTAAATAATGATATCCTTGAACAAAAATTACTAACTTCCATTTCTTTCATTGTAAATTTATATCACT